GGGTTTGGGGGGTCCCTATGGGGGTGCGGGGGTCAGGGAGTCACTGAAAGCGTTTTGGAGGTCCCGATGGGGGTCTGAGGGTCCCTGTGTGGGGTTAGGGGGTCTCTGTGGGGTTTGGGGGGGTCACTGAGGGGTTTGGGGGTCACTGAGGAAGGTCTGGGGATTTGGGGGTCCTTGTGTGGGGTTTGGGGTCCTTGTGTGGGGTTTGGGGTCCTTGTGTGGGTCAGGGGGTCCCTGTGGGGTTTGGGGGTCCCTGGGAGGTGCCTCGGGGGGTCACTCTGAGCTTTGGGGGAGTCACTGCGGTGTCCCCGGGTGTCCCCGTGGAGATCGGGACATTCCCATGGGATCGGGGGCCGGGATTTGGGGGGCCCGCAGGAGGGGGTCAGTGCCTGTCCCCAGGGCGCTGTCCCCGTGCCAGGGCGGTGACATTCCCGGCCGGGGCTGGCCCTGGGGACATGCGACAGCAGCTGGCCGAGCGCGAGCAGGCGCTGCAGCTGGCGCGGGACACGATCCAGGTGAGCCCATCCCAAATCCCGGTGCCGGGAGCGATCCTGGATGCGCGGGGACATCCCAGGGGGACACACGCGACACTGTCCCGTCCCCCCGCCCTTCTTCCCGGCTTTTCCCGGCTTCTCCCGGCTTTCTTCGGTTCCTGCTTCCCTAAAATTATCCCTGTCCTCCCTCCCGGCTTTTCCCTGTTCCACCTTTCCCGGCTTTCCCCGGTTTTTCCCTTTCCCCCTTTCCGGGCTTTCCCCTTCTCCCCTTCCCGACTTTTCCCTGTTCCCCCTATCCCGGCTTTCCCATTCTCCCCTTCTCGACTTTTCCCGGCTTTTCCCGGTTTCTCCCGGCTTTCCTCGGTTCCTCCTTCCCTAAAATTATCCCTGTCCTCCTTCCCGGCTTTTCCCTGTTCCCCCTACCCTGCTTTTCCCGGTTTTTCCCTTTCCCCCTTTCCTGGCCTTTCCCTTTCCCCCTTTCCCGGCTTTTCCCGGCTTTTCCCTGTCCCTCCTTTCCCGGCTTTCCCGTTCTCCCCTTCTCGACTTTTCCCGGCTTTTCCCCGTCCCCCTATCCCGACTTTTCTCGGTTCCTCCTTCCCTAAAATTATCCCTGTCCTCCTTCCCGGCTTTTCCCTGTTATCCATATCCCGGTTTTTCCCGGTGTTTCCCTTTCCCCCTTTCCTGGCTTTTCCCGGATTTTCCCTGTCCCTCATTCCCGGCTTTCCTTTTCTCCCTTTCTCCCTTTCTCGACTTTTCCCGGCTTTTCCCTTTCCCCCTTTCCCGACTTTTCCCGACTTTTCCTGGATTTTCCCTGTCCCCCTATCCCGGCTTTTCTCGGTTCCTCCTTCCCTAAAATTATCCCTGTCCTCCTTCCCGGCTTTTTCCCTTTCTCCCCTTCCCGACTTTTCCCGGCTTTTCCTTGTCCTCCTTCCCGGCTTTTCCCTGTCCCCCCATCCGACTTTTCCCGGTTTTTCCCAATTCCCCCTTCCCGGAATTTTTCCCTGCCCCCCTTTCCCAGCTTTCCCCCGTCTTTCCAATTTTTCCCTGAAATCCGTGATTTTCCCACCGCAGATATAAATTCTGGCAAGCGCCGGGATTCTGTGGGATGGGAACAGCGGGATATCCGGAATTCCCATTTTTTTTTGGGAAAAGGGGCTGAGATCGGAACCCCAAATCCTCGCCCGCCTCAGTTTTCCCCAATCTGGGAGGAAAAAAAAAAAGCCAAAATTCCCTTTCCTCACATTCCCTGCGGCGGGAATGGGTTTGAGGATATTTGGGATTCGGGGATTTGGGATTCGGGGATTTGGGATTTGAGCCCCCAAATCCCTCGGGAATGGCAGATCCTGCAAGCCAAGGTGGGGCGGCTGGAGCAGCTCCTGCTCCTCAAAAATCTCCGCATCGACGACCTGAGCCGGCGGCTGCAGCAGCTGCAGGGCCACCGCCGCTGACAGGCGACAGCGACAGCAGCGACACCGCGGTGGCACCGGGGGACGGCCCGGGGACAGCCTGGGGACAGCTCGGGGACAGCCTGGGGGCTCCCAGTGGCTCCCAGCGCGTCCCAGTTCGCCCAGTGCCCGGCGCGGCTCCGGCGCTGGGTATTAAAGTGTTGGATCCTGGCTGGCAGTGAGGGGACAGAGGGGACACCGTGGGGACAGAGGGGACACCGTGGGGACAGATGGGACACGGCGGGGACAGAGGGGACAATGGGGACAGTGGGGGTACGGTTGGGACACGGCGGGGACAGAGGGAACAACAGGGACAGAGGGAACACGGCGGGGACACGGTGGAGACACTGTGGACAATGGGAACAGAGGGGACACGGTGGGGACACGATGGTGACACTGTGGGGACAGCGGGGACAGCAGGGAGGGGACAGCAGGGAGGGGACAGCGGGGACACGGCGGGGACAATGGGGAGGACCGTGTGGGGGACACGGTGGGGACACTGGGGACACGATGGGGACAGGGGGGAGGGGACAGCAGTGGGGACAGAGGGGACACGGCGGGGACACGGCAGGGACGCTGTGGGGACAGTGGAGAGGGGACAGCAGTGGGGACACGGTGGGGACCCTGTAGGGACAGCGGTGGGGACACAGTGGGGACAAAAGGGGGATGGCACTATGGGGACATCACTGGGCACAGCAGGGTGAGGACATGAGGGTAGAGGTGGCAGTGTGGGGACACGATGGGGACACTGTGGGGGACATTGGCGCGAGGACATCAGGGCAGGGACACTGTGGGGACACCAGAGAGGGGACAGCAGGGTGGGGACAGTGTAGGGACACCGTGGGGACAGCAGAGTGGCAGAGGGGACATCGGGGAGGAGGAGGGGGACAGCACCATGGGGATAACAGAGTGGGGACACCCTGGGGACATTCTGGGGACGCGGTGGCCGCCGGGATTTAATCCCTTCCCAAATCCCGTTGTTTTTGTAATCCCGGAGCAAATCCGCGCCCGGCGCTGGGAGGTGACAGTGACATCCCCCCGTGTGTCCCTCCCCACCTCAGGTGGCATCCCCAGGCACGGGGACACGCCCAGGGGTGGCTCTGGGGACCAGAGTGGCTTTTTCGGGAAAAGCTGGAATTTCCGGCCCATGTGGGAATGGCAGGGGACAAACCGGGCCCTGGTGTCCCCTCCCTTGGGGACAAGCCGGGTGTGACGTCACGGCGCCGGTGACAAGGACACGGTCGGGGGGGCTCTGGGGATCCCTGGGAATGTGGATCCCAGATTTTTGGGAATGTGGATCCAGGGTTTTTAAGCGTTCCCGCAGCTGGAGCAGCCCTCCCCCGGGGGTGACATTGTCCCCTCTGTCCCTCCCGTGTCCCCGCGCTGTCCCCCCGGGTCCCCGCGCTGTCCCCCCGGGGGTGACATTGTCCCCTCTGTCCCTCTCTTGTCCCAGCACTGTCCCCCCGGCATTCCCGGGGGACAATCCCGGTGCGCTCTGGGGCCGAACCGGTGGCGTTTGCCGTGTCCCGATGGGATGTGGCCGTTCCCTGTCCCCTGTCCCAGCGGGAAGGGACACGGAGGTTGGGATGGGGACGGGAAGGACGGGGCTGGATGTTCCCAGGCTGGGTGGTGACCTGGGAATGGGATTGGGATTGGGATTGGGATTGGGATTGGGATTGGGATTGGGATGGGATGGGATTGGATGGGATCAGACTGGGATCAGACTGGGATGAAACAGGATGAGATAAATGGATGGAATAGGATTGGGATGGGAAGGAATCGGGATAATTTGGGATGGGATGGAACTGGGATGAGAGAGGATGAGAGGAAATGAGATGGACAGGGAATGAAATTGGATCAAACGGGATGAGGTGGATGGGATGGAATGGAGATAGAATGGGAAGGGAAGGGAAGGGAAGGGAAGGGAAGGGAAGGGAAGGGAAGGGAAGGGAAGGGCGTTCTCCCGCCCCTCCCCGTTCCCATGACAACGCCCCCGCATCTCCCCCGACGCCCACAAGGGGGCGCCCCGCAGAATGCGCCCTTCCCCATTGGCTGCCCCGCCCCTTAGCCCCGCCCCTTAGCAACAGTACCGCCCCTTAGCAACGCCGTTCAGCACTGCCTGGGGCGTGGCCTGGAGGCGTGACCGGCGTGCGCGCCGACCAATGGCAGCGCGAGGTGGGGGCGCGCCAGCCAATAGGAGCGAGGGGGCGTGTCCCCACAGCGGGAAGCGGGCAGCGGGAGCGGCGGGGTGAGCGGGGCATGGCGACACCTGAGGGGGACATTGAGGGGGGACATCGGGGACACCCGGGGGGTCGGGATGGGATCGGGGGAGCCCCGCGGAAGCGCTGCCGGGTCGCGGGTGATGGCGGAGAGAAAACCGGGCTGGGAGCGCTCGGGAAAGGGGCGGGGGGACAGACGCGGCCGCGGTGTCCCCTCGCGGTGTCCCCTCCTGGGGTCCCCTCCTGCTGTCACCCCGATCTCCAGGTCCGGTGACGCCTCTCCCCTCCCCCGCCCAGTGCGGCTTGAGACGCCCCCAAATCCCTGGATTTCCCCCCCTCCCTCGGGAGAAGCTCCCCCCTTCCAGCTCGGTTTTCTTTTATCCCGTTTTTCCCGAAATTTTGTTGTTTTTTTTCCCGTGGGTTTCCCGGCGTTTCGTTGGCGGGGCCGTTTTGGGGTTTCCGCTTCCCAAATTCCTGCCGGCATTCCCGGTCCGGTCCTGCCAGGGAGGAGGAGGAGGTTTGACCCTCCAATTCCATCCAGGGGATTTTTTGGGGATGTCGCATCCCGAATTCCCGGCTGGCGGTGGGAATCTCCGCGCGCCGGTTATCCCGGGAAAAAGCGATTTGGGAAGGGCTCCAAGTTTGGGATCTGCGTCGCTGCTTCCAGCCTGGAAAAGATTCCCAAACCTCGGAGACTTTTTTTGGGGGGATAAAAAAAAGGGGGGGGGGAAGAAACTGAGGCACGCGCGGGGGAGGGAATTCCCTAATTCCCGCTTTTCCCGGAGATTTGGGATGAGGGAATGCCCATTCCGGGCCCTGGCGCTGCCGCAGGCTCCTCCCCGCCAGGATCGCGACCACCTCGGGGCCACCTCGGGGCCACCACGGGGCCACCAAGGTGCCACCGCTGTCCCCTCAATGGGACGGAATTGGCGCCTTCCCATTCCCATCCCATTCCCACCCCATTCCCGCAGAATTCCCGGACGATGCCCCCCGGCCGCTGAAGTTGGGGACAGCGACAGGGACGGACGGCGCAGGGGACAGATGGCGACAGCGGGCAAGGGTGAGTCCCCAAATCCCTTCCCTGTCCCCTGCCCGGATCCAGGGATTTGGGATTTTCCCGGAGTTTTGGGAGGGTCCCTTCTGTCCCTGGTCCTTCCCTCTGTCCCTATGCAGGGATTTGAGGGGTTTCCCGGAGTTTTTGGGGTCACTCTGCCCCATCCAGGGATTTGGCTGAGACGAATCCCGAGGAACCTTGGGGGGATTCTGGCTCCTTTGCGCTCCGGGAATTTCCTTGGGAATGGGGCTGGGGGCGGCTCCTTCCCGCTGGGACGAGGCCGGGAGAGCCTCAGGAGATTCCCAGGAAAACAAAGAAAAGGGTTGGGGACATCCTGGAGGGGACCTTGTGCCCCCCCTGCGGGGGGACGCGGTGACCCCCAGGGTCCAGCAGGTTCTGATCCCATAAATCCCAGATCCAGGGGATTCCCTGATCCCACAAATCCCAGATCCAGGGGATTCCCTGATCCCACAAATCCCAGATTCCCGATTTGGGATTCCCTGGTTGCTGTCCCCTCCCGAAGCCACCCGAAGTCCCCGGGCTGGGACTCCCCAATCCCGGCACAGCCGATTCCCGGCGGGAATTTTCCCGGGAAAAATTCCCACCTTCCTCCTGCTTCAATCCCACTCTTTCCAGAGGGTCCGTGCCCGGGAGGGGGTGGCGAAATGCTGTCCCCAAGTGCCACCAGGGTGACAACGGTTTATTTGGGATTACCGAGGTTTGGGATTCCCGGGTTGGGATCGGGATCCGGGATCCCCGCAGATCCTTTGGGATCGCCACGGTGCCACCCGGGAGGGTCCCCCGCGTGTCCCCACGTGTGTCCCCGCGCTGTCACCGTGTCCCCTCGCTGTCACCCCCCCCCCTCCCACCCCGGAGTGCGGGAGGGGCTTTGGGGGCCGAACAATGGCGGGACCTTAAATCGCGGCTCATTAAATCGCGGCTCATTAAATCCCGGCTCATTAAATCCCGGGATTCCCGGCGCTGCCAGCACAAAGAGCCTTTTCTTCGGGCGACAAGGGAGGCGACAATCTGCTGCTGGCGGCGGTGACAATCTGCTGCCAGCTGGGAGCGGGGCCGGGGCTCGGCGGGAGGAGGAGGAGGAGGAGGAGGAGGAAGGGGCGGATTTTCCATGGAAGCGGCGCACGTGGAAAATCCCACGGGATTTGAGCCTCCGTGGGGACAGCGCTGTCCCCAAGCTGGTGGCCTCCCCCGCAGGGCCCTGGCGCTGTCCTGCTGGCTTTGTCACAGCCGTGTCACCTTGCCCGTGTCACCTTCCCCGTGGCACCGCTCGGCCCGAGGAGGGAGCAGAGCCTGCCGAGCCTGGGGACACTTGGGGACCCTTGGGGACCCTCTGGACATCAGCTGGTGGCCGGTCCCTGCTCAGAGGGGAGCTGGCTTTGGTCACCTCTGTCCCTCTGTCCCCGTGTCCCTGTGTCACTCGTCCTAAGGACATCACAGGAGGGAGCGGAGCCTGCCAAGCCTGGGGACACTTGGGGACACTTGGGGACCCTTGGGGACGCTCTGGACTTCAGCTGGTGGCCGGTCCCTGCTTGGAGAGGAGCTGGCTGTCACCCCAGGTCCCCTGTGTCCCTGGTGACACAGGGAGGGGGTGACAGGGAAGCCCCTCCAGGTGCCACCACGCTCCACCCGTGTCCCCAAGGCGAGGCCACCTCCCTTGGTGACACGGCTGTGACCCGGGGCGGGGCTTTGTCACCTGCAGGCAGCAAGGCGAAGGGGACAGGAGTGCGCTTCGCCCCCGAGGGGACCCAGGGCCACCCCCAGGAGGGGACACAGGGCCACCACCCCCAGGAGGGGACCCACGGCCACGTCCACTTCCAGGAGCAGCTGCACGACTCGGCCGTGATGGTGACACAGGACAAGGACGGCCACTTCCTGGTCAAGGTTGGGGACAGGGGGACATCAGGGGGATGTCACCCTCCCCTGGGCACTCCAGGGCTCCCAGCTCCTGAAAATTCCCGGATTTTGAGGCGTTCCCAGCTCAGAATTCCGTGTTAATCCCTAAGGCTGCTCCTGAGGGCACCAACTCGGGATTGTCCCGTTTTTCCCCCAAATCCAGCGCCACGTCTGGGTGGCTTTGGGGACACGTGGGGCATGTGGCGCTGTCCCCTCTGCCCCATTCGGGGGACTCTGGGGCCGCTCTGGATCCCACCACAGCCATTCCCACTCTTTCCCGGTTATCCCGGCCACATTCCCGTGGGTGGCTCCCAAGGGCTCCGGGGGCGACGCCAGCGGAGGGGACGAGGTGACACCCGCGGTGCCACCAACATGTGGCACCTGCAGCTGCCACCAGCGCTGAGTCAGAGCCTCGTGGCGGGCGCGGGAGGCCAGAATTCCATCCCAAATCCGGCGCTCGCTCCGGGGGCGGCTGTTGTTGTTTTCCCACCGGGAGCCCTGCGCGTGATCCGTAGGGATGAGGGGGTGGCGGTGCCACCCACGGGGACACGGGGACATGGGGAGGGGTCCCTGGTGGGGTCGGGATCTGCCTGGGAAAAGAAGATCCTGGGTTGTTTTGTTTTTTTCCCACTGCCGAGCGGTTTTCCAGGGTTTTAAAGGGATAAATCCCGGAATGGTTTGGGGAGGGGAGAAGAGCTTGGAGCTCATTCGGTTCCTTGGGCATTCCCAGGGATCCAGGGGCAGCCATGGGAAATCTGGGAATTGCAGCCCAGGCAGGAATTCCTTGCCAAGATCCCAGCCCAATCTCCCCTTTCCCAGTGGAAGCCATTCCCTGGCTCCTGTCCCTGCATTCCTTCTTCCCAGTCCCTCTCCAGCTCTTCAGGCCCTGGAAGGAGCTCCCTGGATCCTTTTCCAGCTGTTTGGGATGATCCCAGCCCATGGGGGATTTTGGGAATTCCATCCTCCTGATCCTGACCCCAGATTCTCCCTCAGGGATCATTCCCAGCTCACTCCCCTCCCAAAATGGCTTTTTCCAAGGCTCCGGAGGGCTCTGGTTTTTGTCATGACAGTGGAGAAATTCCATGGGAAGAGGCGCTCCTGCCTTTTCCAGGAACGGCTGGAAAACCTCTCCCTGCTCCCGTGACATCCACGGATTGTTATTCCCAAAATTTCACCCCAAAATTCCATATTTTTGGGGTTTTTTTTTGGGGGGAGGGGGATGAAAAATCATCGTGTTTTTTACCTTTTCCTGATTTATTTCCTGAATGATTCCTCTTATTCCCTAAATTATTTTTTTTTCCTGATTTTTTTAGGGCACAAATCCCATCCCTCCGGGATTTAATGGGGGAACGTTTAGGATACAATTCCTCCTCTCCAGGTGCTGTCCCCACCTTCCGGGGGACTCTCCGGTGTCCCTTGTCCCCAAGGCGGGGGAGGGGGGTGTGACAATGCCCCCCTCCCCCCCTTTCCCACCCCGTTATCCCGCTTTTCCAGGTGGGATTCCTGAAGATCCTCCACAAGTATGAGATCACCTTCCTGCTGCCCCCCGTGGCCAGGCTGGGGAAGGACATTTGTCCCCTCCCTGTCCCCAACCCCAACCTGCGCGTCATCAGCGTCACCTCCCTGCCAGAAGGTACCGAGTCCCCTCCGGTGTCCCCAGTGTCCCCAAATCCCGTTATTTTGGTGTTGTTGGGATTCTCCTTTCCCGGAGGGGGGGGCTCCAGACCCCGACAAGGGACAGGGAGGGGACAGGATTTGCTCCGAGAGGTGCCACCCTCCTCTTTGGGGACAATCGGTGCCACATCCGTGGGATCCGGGAGCGGGGCGGTGCCGGGGGACAGCGGAGTGTCACCCTGGGCTCGTGGCAGGATTTTGGGGACAGGGGTTCCGCTCCGAGGTCACCGCAGGTCCCCGGGGCCACCTCGCTCCCATCCCAGTTGTCCCATGGCCAATGGATGCTGTTTCCCACGTCCCTGTCCCCTCGGGGCCCTCGGTGTCACAGGGCGGGGACCGGGCTTGTCCCACCGGCCGCTGGCTCCATCCCAAAAAAAAAATGGTTTGTTTGGAGATTCCCAACCGGGGCTGGGATCGGGATCGGGGCGGGAGGGGGACCGGGATGGGGATCGGGACTGGGATTGGAGCCGGGAGCCGGGATCAGGGCTGGGATTAGAGCAGGGAGCTGGGATTGGGACTGGGATGGGGACTGGGATTGGAGCCGGGATCGGGACTGGGATCGGGACTGGGATTGGAGCCGGGATCAGGACTGGGATTGGAGCCGGGATCAGGGCTGGGATTGGAGCAGGGATCGGGACTGGGATTGGAGCCGGGAGCCGGGATTTGGGCTGGGATAAAGGCAGGATTCAGGACTGGGATTGGGACTGGGATTGGAGTCGGGAGCCAGGATCGGGATCGGGACTGGGACCGGGATCGGGGCTGGGATCAGAGCTGGAACTGGGACTGGGATGAAGGATGGAATCAGGACCAGGACTGGAGCTGGGATTGGAACTGGGATTGGAGCCGGGATCAGGACTGGGATTGGAGCCGGGATTGGGACTGGGATTGGAGCCGGGAGCCGGGATCGGGACTGGGATCAGAGCTGGAACTGGGACTGGGATGAGGGCTGGAATCAGGACCAGGACTGGGATTGGAGCTGGGAGCCGGGAGCTGGGATTGGAACTGGGATTGGAGCCGGGATCAGGACTGGGATTGGAGCTGGGAGCTGGGATTGGGACCAGGATTAACGCCAAGATCAGGAGTGGAACCAGGATCAGGGGCGGGATCAGGAACAGGACCAGGATTGCGGCCAAGATCACGAACGGGATCAGAGCCAGGATCGGGATTGGAGCTGGGATTTCCTCAGGAGCCAGGGAAAGGAGCCCTGGGCAACCCCCGGGAGTGACGGGAGGGGACGACGACGACATTAGGACAGGGAGGGGACAGTCAGGGAATATTCACGCAGGGTAGGAAGGATGGGAAGGACTCAGGCAGGGCAGGGAAGGGCAGGGAAAGTTCAGGAAGGGCAGGTAGGATAAGGAGGGTGCAGTCAGGGAAGGATAGGAAGGCACAGGCAGGATCAGGAGGGCACAGGCAGGATCAGGAAGACGGGAAGGATCAGGAGGGCACAGGATGGATCAGGAAAGCACAGGCAGGATCAGGATGGATCAGGAAGGATCAGGAGGGCACAGGAAGGATCAGGAAGGCACAGGAAGGATCAGGAAGGCACAGGAAGGATCAGGAGGGCACAGGAAGGATCAGGAAGGCACAGGAAGGATCAGGAAGGCACAGGAAGGCACAGCCAGTGCTCCAGCAGCCCCTCCATGTCTCCGCTGCAGGGCACAGCGTGCGCTGTGAGTACACGGCGCACAAGGAGGGCGTGCTGAAGGAGGAGCTGCTCCTGGCCAGCCACAGCCCCGGCCACATCAAGGTCACCGTGCAGGCCCGGGTCATGGGTAAGGGCTTCTGGGGTCCCTCCCTGTCCCCTCACCCCCACCAGGCCCCAGCCAGTCTTCCCAGTTGAGGAATTGTCCAAAACGGGTGATTTCATCCCAAAAAATTCCCAGTCCCAGGGGTTGAGGAGAGCCCTGGCAAGGGGTGAAGGGAGGGGGTGGGGGGTGACCCCAATGTCCCCAGGGCTCCTGTGCCTGGGACCCCCCTGTGTCCCTGGGATGTCCCCTGTCCCTGGGACCCCTTTGTCATTGGGATCCCCCCTTTGTCACTGGGACCCCCAGTTTGTCACTGGGACCCCCCCTTTGTCCCTGGGACCTCTTTGTCCCTGGGACCCCCCTTTGTCACTGGGACCAACCTCCCCTTCCCCGGTCCCTGGGACCCTCCGTATAAACCCCAACACCCCTCATGCCCCCTGAGGTTGTCACCACCCCTGGTTGTCACCACAGCGGTGACACAAGGACGAGGGACAACACATCCCCCAACCCAGCTGAGCCCCGGGATGCACAAACCCCCTGGGAGCCTAAACCCCACCCACAAACCCCCTAAAAAAAGCGGGGTTCCCACCCTCCCCAAAGGGGACAGAGAGCTGTCCCCGAGCCGCGTGTCCCGATGTCCCCAGACCGTCACCACGGGACGCCGATGCTCCTGGACGGGGTGCGCTGCGTGGGCGCCGAGCTGGAATACGACTCCGAGCACAGCGACTGGCACGGCTTCGACTGACCCCAAAACCCCCCACCCCGGGGGTCCCCAAAGTCCCCAAAGCACAGGACGGTCCCCAAAGCGGGCGGGGGGACCCCGCTTGTCGCTGCTGCCGCTGCTTCGCCCTCACCCCGCAGCCCCAGGGGGGGGTTTTGGGGGAATTGTGCCTCTTGGGGTGGGAGTTCTTCCTCTTGTCTGGGGTGGGGGAGGAATTTTGCCTGTGGAATGTGGGGTGGGAGCAGGGAGTCCCCCCCCGTGGCTCTGGGGTTGGGGCCACGTCCTCCAGCCGTGTCCTTGTGTTGCTGCCAGCGCCTCTTTTTTTGGGTTTTTCTCAGATTTTTTCCTGTTTTTTTCCCTCTTTTCCCATATATTTTTTTTTTTACCCTCATGTTACAAGGACCAGGAGCAGTTTCAGGAGGTTTTATGTGCCTATATATATATATATATATATATATATAAATATAAAGATATCTTACATGCCTGCAGGGGTTAAAGTACAAAATCCCACCTCGGGAAGGAGGAAAATCCCACTGGGAATGGGCCGGGAGCCCGGATCTCCTCCATGAACCTGCCCAGAGAGACAGGGGACACCCCCAGGTGGATGATCCCAAATAGTCCTGGACTGGGACTGGGACTATTTGGATGGGGAGGGATCATGAGGCAAATTCCAGTTCAAGGGGGGCCTGGAGAGGGTGGGGGGCAGGGCCTGGGGTCCCCAGGATAACAGGGGGGTCTCAGTCTGTGAGGGAATCGAAGGTGCGAGGTCCTGGGATGGTCCCCACAATGATGGGAGGTCTCAGACGGGGTGGAAATTGGTGGTGGCATCTCCAGGAAGGTCTCAGTTGGACAGGAAGTCCATGGTAGTATCTCCAGGAGGATCTCAGTTGGACAGGATTCAATGGTGTTGTCTCCAGGAGGGTCTCAGTTGGGCAGGATTTGATGGTGGCATCTCCAGGAAGGTCTCAGTTGGACAGGAAGTCAGTAGTGGCATCTCCAGGAAGGTCTCAGTTGGAGAGGGAGTCCATGGTGGCGTCTCCAGGACGGTCTCAGTTGGACAGGATTTGTTGGTGGTATCTCCAGGAAGGTCTCAGTTGGACAGGAAGTCAATGGTGGCATCTCCAAGAAGGTCTTAATTGGACAGGAAGTCAATGGTGACATCTCCAGGAGGATCTCAGTTGGACAGGAAGTCAATGGTAGCATCTCCAGGACAATCTCAGCTGGACAGGATTTGATGGTAGCATCTCCAGGGCCCCTCAGTTGGACAGGAAGTCCATGGTGGCATCTCCAAGGAACCTTCTGTTGGAAATGAAGTTGATGGTGACAGGTCCTGGCGGTGTCCCCATGATGACGGCGAGGTCTGAGTTGGAGATTCAATGGTGCAGTCTCCAGGAAAGTCTCAGCTGGACAGGAAGTCGATGGTGGCAGGTCCCAGGGACCCCTCAGTCAGACAGGAAGTTGATGGTGGCACATCCTGGATAGTCTCAGTTGGACAGGAAGTCGATGGTGGCAGGTCCCAGGGACCCCTCAGTCAGACAGGAAGTCAATGGTGGCACATCCTGGGACCCCTCAGTTGGACAGGAAGTCAATGGTGGCACATCCTGGAGAGTCTCAGTTGGACAGGAAGTCGATGGTGGCCCTCACGCTGCGTGCCGTGCGCGTGTCCAGGGCGGTCACCTTGATCTCGGTGTCCCCGAACTGCATGCTGGTGCGGATCTCGCGCCGACCCCGCGCTGGGCCTGCGTCCCCCGCGTCCCCCAGCTCCAGGCTGATGGTTCCGCACTTCCTGACGCCGGGGTCGGTGATGTACACCACGTCATCGGTGTCACAGCAGTAGATGTTGATGATGGTCCGGCGCTGGCCGGGCCGGGCCGGGCAGTAGCTCCGCTGGACCACCTCGCCCAACGCCACCGACTGGTCCACGGTGACGAACTTCTCGAAGATGTCGGTGCACCAGTTCTTGCCCTCCTTGACCAGCAGCTTCTCCCGCGGGTGCTTCCCCTCCACGAACTTGTTGAGGACCCCCACGCCGTAGGTGAGCGGGGAGCGGCGCACCCGCACCACGCCGGGGTCCAGGCCGAAGAGCACGGCCCCTTTGAGGATGGTCAGCCCCACGTCCTGTGGGACAATGACCCGGCAGCAGTGGCCGAAGGCGGCCTGCACCGCCCGCTGCAGCATGGCCGACTCGGCAAAGCCGCCCACCAGGAACAGGAATTTGATGCCTTGGACCTCGGGTTTCTTCAGGAGGGTGTCTGGAGAGGGGGAGGATAAAAGGGGAGGTTTGGGATTGGGCTGGTGGAGAAGGGGTGAGGGGGATGGGGTGCCAGAGATGAGGGGAGTCCAGGAATGGGGGAAGTTCCAGGGGTGGAATGGGGACCCAGGGACAGGGAGGGTTCCATGAATGGAATGGGGGTTACAGGGACAAGGAGGGTTCCAGGGATCAAAGGTTCCCAGGGACAAGGGGCATCCCAAGAACAAGGTGGGTTCCAGGAATGGGAAATCGCAGGGACAAGGTGGGTTCCGGGGATTGAGTTCCAGGGACAGGGAGGGTTCCAGGGACACGGTGGGTCCCAGGGATGGAATGGGGGTTCCAGGGATAAAAGGTTCCCAGGGACAAGGGGGATCCCAAGGACAAGGTGGGTTCCAGGAACGGGGGATCCCAGGGACAAGGTGGGTTCCAGGGATGGAACGGGGCCCTGGGGACAGTTCCAGGGACAATGGGGGTTCCAGGGACAATGGGGGATCCAGGGATAAAAGGTTCCCAGGGACAAGGGGGATCCCAAAGACAAGGAGGGCTCCAGGAATGGCGGATTGCTGGGACAAAGTGGGTCCCAGGGATGGAATGGGGGTTCCAGGGTCAGGGGTGGTCCCAGGGACAAAGGGGGTCCCAGGGTGTGGGATTGTCCCAGCAATGGGAGGATCTCAGGCATGGGATGGTCCCAAGGATGGGGGGCTCATAGGGACAGGGAAGGATTCCAGGGATGGGTACAATCCCAGGAATGGGGGTTTCCAGTAACGGGGAAGGTTCCAGCGATGGGGGGTGATCCCAAGGACCGGGGGTGGGTTAGGACAGGGGTTGGATGTGGATGGGCGTGTCCCCAGGCCCCACCGATGTGCTGGATGATGTGGGTGATGGTTGGCTGGAACAGCTCGCTCATGGCCTCGGGGGACATCCGCAGCATCCCTTGGGATGACCACTTCACCAGGTTGACACTGGGGATGGACAGCGGAACCAGGGGTGACCAAGAACTCCTGCCCGGTCCTTCCCTATCCTCCTCCCTCCCACCCCAACACCCCTGTCCCGCCTTTCCCCCCTTCTCTCTCCCTCTTCCACCCCAACATCACTCCCTCCGTGTCCCCGTGCTCCCGAGATGTCCCCAACCCGCGTCACCCCTCACTTGCTCTTGCGGAGCGCGGTCTCGACGTTTTGGCCGCGGTGTTTGCGGTAGAAGTCGATGAAGGAGAAGGGCAGGGAGATATTGAGGGGGCTGGAGCGGTTCGGGGCGGCCGCGCGCTTCCGTGCCTCGAAGGCAATGGTCAGGTCCACCCAGGCCGCCGGACGCTTGGCCTTGAAGGTGGCAATGAAATCGTCCCCGAAGATGTGGCACAGAAGCTTCTCGAAGGCCAGGTCCACACCCACGGCCCCGTAGGGACCTCCTGAAGGATGAGGGTGGGGTCAGGAGGTGGCCCCGTGGTAGCCGTGTCCCCATGGTAGTCATGTACCATCACTGCAGCCTCCTACATCTCCATGTCCCGATGTCCCCCACATTCCCATGTCCCCACATCCCTGTGGTCCCCATGTCTGCCTCCCCATGTCCCTGTGGCACCCACAGCCCCATGTCCCCCATCCCTACGTCCCCGTTTCTCCTGTGTCCCCCATCCTGACGTCCTCGTGTCCCCCATCACCACATCCCCCACATCCTCCGTGTCCCCGTATCCTCCATGTCCCCCCCAACACCGTATCCCCACATCCCCCACATTCCCATGTCCCACGTCCCCAAATCCCAACATCCCCATATCCCCAGGTCCCACACATCCCCGTGGCATCCCAACCATGTCCCCATGTCCCCATCGCGATGGCATCCACGTCCCCAGGTCACCCACACGCCCCTCCACCCCAGCCCCTTGTCCCTCTGTCCCCCCTCACCCACCATCCCCCTCCTCCCTGCCCCACCGTGTCCCCCTAATCCACCCCTGTCCCTCCTTGTCCCCCCCAATCCATCCCCCCCTTCCCTCTGTCCCCTCTCTGTCTCCCGTCCCCCTGCACTTCCCCCCGCCGCCACCAGGTGGGGCCACAGCCCCACCCACGACCCTTTAGTGGGGCGGTTTTGGGGACCCGGCTCGGATTTGGGGTCCCAGTCTGGGTTTGTGGTCTCAGCCCACGTTTGGGGTCCCAGCTCAGGTTTGGGGTCTGAGTTCAGGTTTGGGGTCTGAGTTCGGGTGTGAGGTCCCAGCTCGGGTTTGGTGTCCCAGCTCGGGTTTGGGGTCTGAGTTCAGGTTTGGGGTCTGAGTTCGGGTGTGAGGTCCCAGCTCGGGTTTGGTGTCCCAGCTCGGGTTTGGGGTCTGATTTCAGATTTGAGGTCTGAGTTCGGGTTTGGCGTCCCAGTTCGGGTTTAGGATCTCAGCCCAGGTTGGGGTCTCAGCCTGGGTTTGGGGTCTTAGCCCGGGTTTGAGGTACCAGCTCGGGTTTAGGGTTCCGGCTTGGGTTTGGGATCCCAGCCCGGATTTGGGGTCCAGCCAGAGTTTGGGATCCCAGCTCAGGTTTAGGATCTCTACCCGGGTTTGGGGTTCCATCCGGGGTTTGGGGTCCCAGCCCGGATTTGAGATCCCAGCCCGGGTTTGGTGTCCCGGGAGGATCCCGAGGAGAGGGAAAAAAGGATGGAAAGGGACCCCCATCCCACCCGAGGCTTTGTAGAGCTCCTTCAGCGTCCCCTGCGGCTTCTCGATCTGGTGCACGGTCAAATCCACCGTCCCCCCGCCACAGTCGGCTACGATGTACCTGTCACCTGCACGGGGGGGACAGCGACAGGGTGGCAGCCACCCGCGGGGACACAGCGCTGCGCTTTTCCAGGGAAAACGGATCCTTAACCGAAACGTTGGGAATTGGGCGGAGAGACGAAGGGATGGGATGGTGGCAGGGAGACCCCCGCCCTTTCTGTGGGGTCAAGGGACAGGTGCCACCCGTGTCACCCCCATGGCAGGAGCGCCCTTGGGTGTTTGGGGGTGGCTCTGCCACCAAGGGGACATTCCAGGGGGACCCTCGGGATTTGGGAATCTCCAGTGGGGACCCACCCCACCCGTGTCCCCCCCTCGTACCTGCCTGCATCTCCGACCAGAGCTCGCCCACTCCCGACTCCACCAGGAAGGTGCGGCTGTGCCGGGATCTCCGGAGCTGCTCCCGGGCTGGGGGGGCAGAGCCAGGGGTCGGCAGCGAGGTTAGGATCCCCCGCGTTTCCATGGGATCCACCCCAATTCCATGGGATCCTCCTCATTTCCATGGGATCCGCCCCATTCCTCGGGATCCGCCCCATTCCCACTGTGGGGGCCGTGCTGGGAGCGCTGGTGACCGCTCCCCTCCAGGCGGGACCCCAAAAGGACCCAGCTCCAGCATGGATGGGCTGATCCCGCTTTCCCGCTGCCCTGCTGGGATCCCAGAGGATCCCCCCGGATCCCACGGGATCACCTCGTGCCCACCCGTGATGCCACCTCCGGCCCGGACCCCACAGCCCGGGTGGGGTTTCCTCTGCTCCCCCTGTCCCGGGAACATCAAAGCCGCCCGGAAGAGCCGGGATGAGCTGGGAAAGGTGGGGTTATCCTGGGATATTTTTGGCACGTGGATAATTCCTCATCCTCGGGATCAGCGCGAGCAACCCCATAAATCCCATGGGACCCCAAATCTCCATCTGGAGATCTCCATCTCAGTTGTGGGGCTCGATCCCAGCTGGGAAAACTGGGGCTGTCGCTGGGATCCATCCATGGGGGACAGTCCCTGGAGGTGGCTCAAGGACACGGGGTGGTGGCCTGGGTGGCACCGGGGCGGTGGGGACACTGCTTGGTGGCTTCTGGGAAAGCAGGAAAAAATGCCCTGGATTTGGGGAGGGGGGAGTGGGGTCTCTGGGAATGGAGTATCCGGGAATGGGGTTTCTGGGAATGGGGGGGTCTCTGGGAATGGGGGGCTCTGGGAATGAGGGGTCTGGGAATGAGGGGTCTGGGAATGGGGGTCTCTGGGAATGGGTTCTCTGGGGACAGGAGGTCACTAGCAATGGGGTTTCTGCAATGGGGTGGTCTCTGGGGTAATGGGGTCTCTGGGAATGGGGTGTCTGGGAATGGGGTTTCTGGCAATGGGAGGGTTTCTGGGGTTATGGGGTTTCTGGGAATGGTCTCTGGGGACAGGAGGTCTCTAGCAATGGGGTTTCTGGCAATGGGGTGGTGTCTGGGGTTATGGGGTTTCTGGGAATGGGGTCTCTGGGGACAGGGGGTCTCTAGCAATGGGGTTTCTGGCAATGGGGTGGTGTCTGGGGTTATGGGGTCTCTGGGAATGGAATCTCTGGGAATGGGGTCTCCGGGGATTTCCCCAGCCGTGGCAGCTCATGGACCCTGCAGATCCGGCATGCAGGGCCAGATCCCATTCCCTGCTCCTCCAGGACCCGGCCCCATCTCGACCCCATTCCCTGCGCCCCTTACCCTGCCGGAAGCTGGAATCGATGGGGTGGGGGCGCTCAGCCCCGTTGGCCGGGGCGCGGCAGCTGAGCTCGATCAGCTGGTGCAGCCGCAGCTTCCGGCAGTAAATGGAGGCGGCCTCGGGCTCCAGGGCGATCAGCAGCTGCTCCGGGGTCTCCGGGGACACCAGCCCGGCCTGCGGGGACACGGGGTGACAGGCCGGGCAGGGAACGGGGACTGGGGGCTCTCGGGGCGTGTCCACATCCCCTCGGTGCTCACCCGGATCTGGGATTGTGGAATGCTGGAGCGCCCAACACTCGCCAAATGTCAGAATGTTCACCCAAAAAGTCAACTGGCCAATCATCCCCTCAGCCCTGAGAGCTCAACGCAAGCACCGAGCTGACCACCCAGCCCCTCATCCTGCTGCAAATACACCCAACCAACCAACACCCTCACCACCCACCCAGCCAACCACCCAACCAACCACCCACCCAGCCAACCAACCAACCACCCAACCACCCAACCAACCAACCACCCAACCAACCAACCAACCAGCCAACCAACCAACCACCCAACCAACCACCCAACCAACCACCCAGCCCCTCATCCTGCTGCAAATACACCCACCCAACCACCAAACCAACTACACAACCACCCAACCAAACACCCACTTAACCATCCAACCATCCACCCAACCCCTCATCCTGCTGCAGATAAACCCAACCAAACCACCAACCAACCAACCAACCAACCACCAACCAACCACCCAACCAACCACCCAACCCCTCATCCTGCTGCAAATACACCCACCCAACCACCAAACCAACCACACAACCACCCAACCAAACACCCACCCAACCATCCAACCAACACCCTCACCACCCACCCAACCAAACACCCACCCAACCATCCAACCAACCATCCACCCAACCCCTCATCCTGCTGCAAATACACCCAACCAACCTACCAACCAACCAACCAACCAACCAACAACCCAACCAACACCCTCACCACCCATCCAACCACACAACCAACCAAAGACCTCACCAGCCAACCAATGACCTCACATCCCAACCAATGACCCAGCCCATGACCCGACCACGCAACCAACCACCCACCCAATCAACTGCTCAATCATCCAACCACTCAACCAATGACCAAGTCAACCAGTGAACCAGCCAATGTCCTGAACACCAAAACAACCAACCAACCATCCAACAACCAACCAACCATCCAACAACCAGCCAACCGTCCAACAACCAGCCAACCAACAACCAGCCAATGACCTGAGCACCAAACCAATCACCCAGCCAATGACCACCTGCTCAACCAACCACCCAACCAGTGACCCAAGCATCAAACCAACCATCCAAGCACCCAACCACCACTCAACCAACAACCCAAACCAACCAATGCGCCAACTGCTCAACCATATCCAATCACCCAATCACCCAACAACTTTTGGTCGGTTTGGGTGGGAGGAGACCTTAAATCCCATCCCATTCCCACCCCTGCCACGGGCAGGGACACCTTCCACTATCCCATGTGGATCCAAGCCCCAGTGTCCAACCTGGCCTTGGACACTCCCAGGGATCCAGGGGCATCCACAGCAAATCTGGGAATTCCATCCCAGCCCCTCCCCACCCTCCCAGCCAGGAATTCCTTCCCAAGATCCCACCTAACCCTTTCCTCGGGCAGTGGGAATTCAGTTGGAGGGAGGAAGGGGATACTCTGGAGACCACAACACCTTTGAGGGTCACCACCCTCCAGAGTCCCCCCACCTTGTAGGCCGCTTCCCGCATGAACTGCTTGGCCGGCTGCTTCCAGATGGCCGGCACAGTGAGGACCCAGCGGATGGCATCGCTCTCGGGCAGGGACGGGCACTGGTCCTTCAGCTCCTGCCAGGGGACAAGCAGGAGGTGACCCCTGGGGGCTTCCGGTCATGGAATGGTTTGGGTTGGGAGGGACCTTAAATCCCACACAGTCCCACCCAGCGACACCTTCCACCATCTCAGGTGACTCCAAGCCCTGATGTTCAACCTGGCCTTGGACACTTCCAGGGATCCAGGGGCAGCCACGGCTTCTCTGGGAATTCCAGCCCAGCCCTTCCCCACCCTCACATGGAATGTGTGGAGAGGACACAGAGGATTCCATTTGGGAAGGAGAGGGAGGGATGGAGATGGCCCCACCTGCACCGCGTGCTGCTTGAAGAAGCGCAGCGCGTGGGCGAACACCTCCAGCGCCGGCATCTTCTTCCCATTGACAGCTTCCAGCTCGGTTTTCATGGTCAGATCCTGCAGGGAACAGCAAATGGATCACCCGAGGGGCTGGAGAGCGGCCGGATCCATCACCAAACCTCGGGAATTTGCTCATCCCCCTGAGCCAACCACAACAGCTGGACCTCAGGCACCTGAAGCTTTGTGCAGCCACATCCACCCACCCTGGAGCATCTCTGATGGCAGAACCTCAAATTCACGCCCTAAAATTGGCTAAAATGGGTTTTTTTTTCCCAAACATTTCAATTCCCAACCTGGCCAGGATCCCACCGGGAACATCAGGATGGGAGCAAGGACTCACGCTGGTGCTGTGGATCTTCATCTTAAACTTCTCAAAGTAGAACCACTCGCGGGCCTCCTCAGGGTCCAGGTCGTGGTAGTAATCACGGGCGGTGTAGCCGAAGCTGTGGAATGTCCCCTCCGGAGTCAGCAGGAGGCTGGTGGGGGTCTTCTGGTTGGCCACGCCCGGGTCCCCCCCTTCCCATTTCCTGCAAAGAGGAGCCGGAGCCGGTGAACTTCCAGGGAATGGGTCCTGCCAGGTTTAATTTGTTACTATGGGTGTGGTCTGAAGGACCTTAAAAGGGCACAAAGGTGGAGGAGTGATCCCGCTCCATCCTCCGAAGGATTTAATGGAATTCCAGAATGGTTTGGGTTGGGAGGGACCTTGAAGACCACCCAGCGCCACCCCCTGCAATGGCAGGGATGCCTTCCACCATCCCAAGTGGATCCAATCCCAATGTCCAACCCGGCCTTGGGCATTCCCAGGGATCCAGGGGCAGCCCCAGCAAATCTGGGAATTGCAGCCCAGGCAGGAATTCCTTGCCAAGATCCCAGCCCAATCTCCCCTTTCCCAGTGGAAGCCATTCCCTGGCTCCTGTCCCTGCAGCCCTTGGCCCCAGTCCCTCTCCAGCTCTCCTGGAGCCCCTGCAGGGACTCTCAGCATTCCCTGCATTTTGCCCTTCTCCAGGGGAACATTCCCAGAATTCCCAGCCTGGCTCCAGAGCAGAGGGGCTCCAGCCCTTGGAGTATCCCCATTCCACACCTTCCACCAACCCAACTTCTGACCATTTTGGGGCCATAAAAGTCCATAAAAACTCCCCTGCTCCGGGAGCAGTTCCGGGGCCTCTGGCAGGTGCTCACCTCATCATGTGGATGGCCTCGGGATCGCTGGTGAAGCTGAAGGCGTAACCACTGGAGGTGGTGCCGAAGTCGATGGCCACCACCACGGAGAAGGACGGGGTCTGCTGGGAACGCGCCTCGCTCCTCTGAAAGGCAAGGAATGGGATCAAGCACTCAGCTGGGGTTGGCTGATACCAAGAAAGGAATAAAAACCCCGGGAAGGGGTTCGTTTTCCCAGGATTTTCAGGATTTTTCCCGGATTTTCACCCAGTTTGGTGATTCCCTGATGGGTGATTCTTCTTCTTACACATTGGGAAAAGCTTCTCCCGTATTCCACGGGGTGGCTGTGGTCGTTCCCAAAGGCAATTCCGATGGGACACAGGGATTTGGGCAACCCTGGAGAGGGATGGATGCCCATGGGAGCAGCCAGGGTGGTTGGGGGGATCCTGTTTTTATTTTGCTGAGCCCCCCTCATTTGGACCCTGAAATCAGAGCCAAGATCCCAAATTCCTGTGTCTGGTCTTAGTCTGAGGGACATTGCCCCAGGTGTCCCCAAGATCACTCAGTCAAAAACCTTCCCTGTGTCCAATCTCACCTTGTCCCAGGTGTCCCCAAGGGTCCCCCAGCTGAAAATCCCCCTGGCCCAGATGTTTTGGGATGTTCCCACTGCTGCTCCCACACTTTTCCTGTCCCCGTGCCGTGTCCCTGTCCCTTCCCTCCGGGGCTGTCCCCTTGCCGAAGAAGCCGTGAGGATGTGACAAGGCCCCGTCCCCGTGTCACCACGGGAAGCTGAAAGCCTCGTTAACTTTTAATGTCCCCAGATTTGATAAGTGCGGACACGAGTTGGCCGGGAAAAGCGCCGGGATCAGCAGGGAAGAGGCGGCTGGCGCAGGAATGTGCAGTGACAAGGAACTCCAGGGAGGATCCGGCTCTGGAACGCGGCCTCCCACACCCGGCAGCTCCAGAGGAGTGCGGGAGTTTTGTGGGGTTAAACTTTTCCTGGTGGGTCATTCCAGAGCTGGAAAACCCCTCCATCCTGAAAATCCCGTGGATAAAGGTTCTAGGGATAGACTGAGCCATCCTGTGGGACTGGGGGTGATGAAGGCTGGACTGGGAGGGGAGGGGGAGCAGCAACTGGGGAAGGACCAGAGGGGGAAAGGACAAAGGGACAGACCCCAGCTGCCCCTGGGGACCTCACAGTGTCCTTACTGGGACCCCACAACTGCTTTACTGGGACCCTACAGTGGTCTTACTGGGAATCCCACAGCGGTCTTACTGGAACCCCATAACGGCCTTACTGGGATCCCACAATGGCCTTACTAGGACCCCACAGTGGTCTTACTGGGAACCTCATAACAGACTTCCTGGGACCCCAAAACTACCTGCTGGGAACCCCATAATGGCCTTACTGGGACCCCTAAATTGCCTTACTGGAAACCCCTTAAAGGCCTTACTGGGAACCCCATAACAGCCTTACTGGGATCCCACAATAGCCTTACTGGGGCCCCAATGGTCCTACTGGTCCCGCACTCACCGGTGACTGGGAAGGCGTCAGTGGGGCGATGCTGCAGCTGTCGTGGGGTGTCCCCGGGGAGCCGGGCGGGGACTGTGTCGGGCACCGCTCGCCGTTGGCACCTGGGGACACGGACGGGTGAGTCTGGGTGACCCCAACACCCCCAGAGAACCGTCCCCAAGGAGAGGCCACACGGGATGTCCCGATGGAGATGGATCCGGGTGGGAAGAGATCCCAGCCCTTCCCAAAGACCTTTCCCCAAGGAGAGGCCATGTGGGACATCCCAATGGAGACAGATGCAGGAGGGAAGGGATCCCAGCCCTTCCCAAAGACCTAGCCCCAAGGAGAGACCACGCGGGACATCCCAATGGAGACAGATGCAGGAGGGAAGGGATCCCAGCCCTTCCCAAAGATCCTTCCCCAAGGAGAGGCCACGCGGGACAACCCAATGGAGACAGATCCCAGTGGGAAGGGATCCCAGCCCTTCCCAAAGATCCTTCCCCAAGGAGAGGCCATTGTGGGACATCCCGAAGGAGATGGATCCAGGCAGGAAGGGATTCCAGCTCTTCCCAAAGACCTTTCCCCAAGGAGCCACCACGCAGGACATCCCGATGGAGAGGGATCCAGGGTGGATGTGGTGGTGGAAGGGACAGAGTCACTGTGGGGGTTCCAGATGTGGAGTTGATAAAATCATGGAATGGTTGGAGCTGGCAAGGTCCCTAAATCCCATCCAGTGCCACCCCACCCATGGGCAGGGACATCTTCCATTATCCCAGGTGGCTCCAACATGGCCTTGGACACTTCCAGGGATAGGGAAGCTGCTCCGGGCCAGCAGTTGGAATGTTTGGGTTCAGTGGGAATGGGGGAAAACTTGGAAAGAGGGAAAGGAAGTGACTGTGGTTCAAATCCATGGAGAACCAGCGAGGGAGGGTGGGTCCAGCTCAGACCCCCGGCCATGCTCCAGAACATCCCGGTTTTCTGGAGACGCTGGAAGCTCCTGCGTGAGCCTGTGGTGATCCCAAAACCTGGGGGTGGGGACCTCAGGGATCCTGGGCACAGAGGATTTTTCCCTCCTCCTGGAGCCACCAGCCATCCCTGTCCCCTCCAGGAGCAGAATTCCAGCCCCGGGGACGCCCGATGATCCCACAATCGGGATGGGATGAACCCCAGAGTACCCGCCCCACACCAGGAACACAGGGCTGTCCCTCCCGCACTGTCCCGGGCATCTGGCTCCAATTAGCAACCGGCATTAATTAATCACCACCCACGAAAGAGCCGCTGGACCGGCTCCAGCTGGAAGGAGCCGGGGGAGCTGATGGAGCAGCTTTCCCAAGGGAACGGGATGGGGTGAAGTGTTGGGAATGGGGTGCGGGGTCTGGGTGGTGACACCGAGGAGGTGAAGGGACTGTCGGCCCCAAAACCTGGGCTTTGGGATTGCGGATCCTGCTGGGAATCTGCCGGGAACCTGCTGGGATTGGGGACGGGAGCGGGGATGAACAGCGCCCACCCCAAGCCGGGCTCTGGAGAGATTTGGGAACGGAGGAGGCTCCATGGTCAGAAAGATTTGGGAACAGAGGGAGCCCCATGGTTGGACAGATTTGGGAACGGAGGGGCCCCATGGTTGGAGAAATTTGGGAACAGCGGAAGCTCCTCAGGGAAGAACAAAACTCCATCTCCTCTTTGCCAGAGTCCAGACAAACCCAGCCCGGCTCCCAGCACCACCAGTTTGCACTGGGACATCCACTGGGACACCCTCGGGAAGCTCAGGAGCCCCAGGGAGCGCCCTGGGAATGCTCTGGGATCCCCCAACAGCAGCAGGATTGGGACTGGGATTGGGATTGGGATTGGGACTGGGATTGGGACTGGGATTGGGACTGGGATTGGGATTGGGATTGGGACTGGGACTGGGACTGGGACTGGGACTGGGACTGGGATTGGGATTGGGATTGGGATTGGGATTGGGATTGGGATTGGGATTGGGACTGGGATTGGGATTGGGATTGGTCTGATCCCAACTTTCCATGTCTGGGAAGAGCCACATGACAGTGATTGCCCTGCCACCCCCGGAGCTGTGCGGGTGACACGTCTGCTGTCCCCTACACCTGCTCCCTAAGTGCCTTTCCCTGTATCCGTGCCTGTCCCATAAATATTTGATCCCGGACAAACGGGAACGGTCTCTCCTCTGCCTCCGCGTGCGACAGAGCCAGGGGGAGCGGTGACCCCCCCGGGGGGCTCTGGAGAGCTTTGGACATGAAACCTCATTCCTGTGGAAAAGGATCGGGGTCGGGGGGGGCGGGGGGGAGTAATTCCTGCCGCATCCTCCGCACGCCTGGATTTGGGATGGCGGGATGAGGTTTGGGATGGTGGGATGAGGTTTGGGATGGTGGGATGAGGTTTGGGATGAGGTTTGGGATGGCGGGATGAGGTTTGGGATGGTGGGATCAGGTTTGGGATGGTGGGATCAGGTTTGGGATGAGGTTTGGGATGGCAGGATGAGGTTTGGGATGGCGGGATGAGATTTGGGATGATGGAATGAGGTTTGGGATGGCGGGATGAGGTTTGGGATGGCGGGATGAGGTTTGGGATGGCGGGATGAGGTTTGGGATGATGGAATGAGGTTTGGGATGGCGGGATGAAATTTGGGATGAAGGAATGAGGTTTGGGATGGCGGGATGAGGTTTGGGATGGCGGGATGAGATTTAGGATGGCGGGATCAGGTTTCCTCCCACAGCTGGTTCCGATTACCCCAGTGCAGGAGCTGCAGAGGGGACACAGTGGGGACAGCAAGGGACACAGAACGATCGTCTGGGGTGGGCCAGGGGACATCTCAGCCAGTGCCACCCCCTTGGGGACATCCTTACCCATCCGCAGGCTCTGCATCCCGGGCTCCAGGAGCATCGCCATGGCCTCGCTGCCCGCCTGGAAAAGGAAGGGACAAAATCCATCCCTGTGTCCCCTCGGCAGCCTGGGGTGGCCACGGTGTCCCCTCAGTGTCACCCCAGCCTTTCCCCCCCCAAAAAACGCACCAGGGATGAGGCTGGGATTTGTAGGGTCAGCAGGAGGGGACCCCAAATCCCAGCTCACAACGGGGTGTGGGAGCGGCTGTCCCAGTTTGGGGCACAGGCCAGGATTGTCACACTCCAGGGTGTCCCCGGCTGTCACAGCCACTGTGGGGACAGGGACCCGAGTTCCCATCACCGAGCAGGTCGGACAGATGTGCAGGATACAGATGTGCGGGGCACAGCTGTGTGGAAATCGCTGTTCCTGCACATTTCTCACCAAAACCCTTTTTTTTTTGGGGGGGGGGGGTGGGGGGTGGGGGAGTGGGTCTGGGCTTGTTTAGGAAAAATCCCGATTTATTTTCCTGATGGAAACGCGGTGGCCAAAGGGATCCCGGCTCTTCCCAGGGATTGTGACCCGGCCTGGACCAGCTCCAAATCTTCTTCCCGGGATAACACCTCAGCTCCTGGCTCCCTTCCCGGGGCCACGGCCTCCTGCCACCTCCGAGCCCCCCAGCCCGCCCCGGCCGCTCTCATCCCACAAATCCAGGGGCTCGGGATAGGGCTGAGCTCATCGGGAGAGGCCTCGCCGCGAGCCAAACCCACCCACGAGCCGCCGGCCCCCGCAGCCTCCCCTCTTCCCAAAAACCACCCCTCGGGATACCAGCGGCAGGTGGGGAGGCTTTCCCTGGAATTGGGGGGGGTCCAGCTCTGGCCACCCTGGAGCTGAGGGCGGGGAAGGCGGTGCTGGTGGCCCTGGGGTGACACTGAGGGGGGTCCTGGGGGTGGTCCAGGGGCTTTTCCCACCAAAATGGGGCTTTTTCCACCAAAATGGGGCTTCCCAGGAGGTTCTCCCACTCTGGAAATCAGCCCCCAGTCCGGGATTTGTGACTTTTCCCAGCTGCCTGGGGTTCGGGTTGTGGTTTGGGATAGGCAGGGATGTCCCCAATGTCCCCAACGCCGCGGTCCTGAGCCCCCACATCCCACGGGGGAGCCAGAGGGACGCGCCAGCCCTTTTGGTGGCTCAGTGGCTTCATTCCCTGTCCCTCCATGGCCACGGGGGCTCCAGGGGGTCACTCCGGGCTCTGGGTGGCCAAAATCCTCCTCCTGGCCTGGAAGTGGGTGGCCGACAGCCACCTTTGTCCCCAAGGTGCCAGTCCCCCCCTGGCGAGGAGGGTGGGTGGCCTCAAGTCCCCGCGGTGTCCCCCGGCAGCGGGCGGTGACCACGCTGTTGTCACCCGGGGGACACCGGCCGGAGCCCCCGACTCCGGGGGTCCCTCCCAGGGCAGGATCCCGGTGGCTCCCGGGTTCCCTCCAGCTGGAGCAGCGATTTTGAGGATTTTCCACCATTTCCTCCTCTGCGGGGGCTCACGGAAACGGGGAAAGGAAACAAAGTTTGGGACGGGATCAGGGCGGAGGAGGCAGGAGCGACACCGGGGCGGTGGCACGGCCAAGAGTGGCACGGGGACACCGGCTTGGCAGGGCATGGTGACCCCACAAACTCGGGGTGATCCCACAAACTCGGGGTGATCTCACAAAGCTGGGGTGGTTCCACAACCTGCGGTGTCCCCAGAGCTCGGGGTGTCCCCACAACTTGGGGTGATTTCACAAAACCCGGGGTGTCCCAACAACTTGGGGTGTCCCCACAACTCGGGGTGTCCCCGGAGCTCGGGGTGTCCCCACATGCTGGGGTGTCCCCACAATTCGGGGTGTCCCCAGAGCTCGGGGTGTCCCCAGAGTTCGGGGTGTCCCCATAAACCCGGGATGTCCCCACAACTCGGGGTGTCCCCAGAGCTTGGGGTGTCCCCGCAACTTGGGGTGTCCCCACAAACCCGGGGTGTCCCCGGATCTCGGGGTGTCCCCGCGGCACACCTGGGAGGCTCAGGGCTCCCATCCAGATGTGCTGGGACAGAAGGAGCTGTTTGTCCCCACATCCCCGCTGTGCCAGGGCTGAGCGTGGCTTTGGGGTTGGGGACCCCCCCAAATCCTCCAGAGAAGATTTTGGGGTTCCCTGGAGCCCTTTCCTGTCCCCTTGGCAGTGGCTGGGACACGGGAGCCACCCAGGGGTGTCCCCGGCACCCCTGCACGGTGCTGGCACATTGTGGCACTGTCCCTGGGGTGTCCCCCCATGACCACAGCGCTGTCCCCAAGGGTCGCAGCGGTGTCCCCCAGCACAGGACACACGGCGACAGCGTCCGAGCGTCCATCCCCACGCCCCCCCCCGTTCCTACAGCCCCCCCATTCCCACCGGGAAGACCCCGCGGAGTCCTGGCACCCCAAACCGGGCAGAGACCCCAGGGGCGGTGCCACCCTCACCTCGGCCAGGGGACAGGCCCGCTCCGCACGTCCCCAGGCCCTGCTGTCCCCCGGCCCCCGCCACTCCCGCCGGCCACTCACCGCTGTGCGGGGGGACACGGGTTGGGGCCCCCTCGGCTTTGTCACTCGGGCTGTGCCCGCCGGGCTGGTGGCTCCGGCCGTCCCCGCCGTGCCCGCGGCTCTGTCCCCGTCGGGGCCCCGCGCAGCCCCCCGCGCTCCGGCTTCCTCCCACTCCCTGTCCCGGCCCAGGCAGCGCCTCAAATTGCAATTCCAGCTGCAGATGTGGGAGCGGGAGCAGCGGGAGGAGGAGGAGGAGGAGGAGGAGGAGGAGGCAGGGCCAGCCCCGGCCCCGCCGCGGCGGAACCTCCGCTCCCCGCCCGGCCACGGCCACCGAGGGGGGACGAGGGTCCCCAAGGGGCCGGGATGGGGGACACGCCACCCCCGCACCCCCCAGAGTCCTCCTGAAACTGTCTGAATCCATCGGCCGGGTTTGTCGCTGCGTGTCCCGGGTGACTTCGGCTCTGTCCCCGCATCCAGCCCCCTCCCGAGGCCAGAGCTCGGGATTATCCCGGGATTCTCCTCCCCGGGGTCTTTCCCATTCCCAAAGGGGGATCCTGGATCAGGTTGTGCCGGGAAGCAGAGCCAGGGAGTCCCGGGAATGGGATCTGGTCCGGGATCCCAGATTTGGGATCAGAGTTGGGAAGTCCTGAGGGTGGGAGCAGAGCCAGGGCATCCCAGATTTGGGATCAGAGCTGGGAGACCCCAGATTTGGGATCAGATCTGGGAGACCCCAAGGGAAGGAGGCTGACAAAGGGTCCGTCCTATCATTCCCAAAAGCCTCCATAACGGGAAGAATCCACCATGGGAGCCTCAAAAGCACAGGCAGAATATTGGGATGATTCCAATAATTGATATATTTGGGATCATTGGGATCACCGAGCTGAGGTAGTCGGGAGTGCTGAGACAGCTTGGGATGGTTGGGATAATTGGGATCACTTGGATCATTGGGGTCCTTGAGATTGTTGGGATCGCTGAGATAATTTGGATATTAGGATCATTGGGATCATTGGGATCATTGGGATCGGTGAGACCGTTTGGGGAAATTGGGATAATTTGGATCACTGAGTTTGTTGGGATCGTTTGGATCATTGGGGTCACTGAGATCCTGGGTGGTTTGGGATCATTTTGTTTGCTGGGATCACTGAGATCGTTTGAATCGTTGGGATCAAGCCCCTGGAACTATTGGGATCAAGCCCCTGGAATTATTGGGATCAAGGCCCTGGAATTATTGGGATCAAGCCCCTGGAATTATTGGGATCAAGCCCCTGTCCGGGAATGCCTGGACCTGGAGCGGGATGTGCCAGGTGACCGGCGGTGACCACGGGGGTGACACCGGTGGGGGACACCAGGGAGGGGACAAAGGGTCACCTCCTGAGCCAGGAGACCTCCGGACCCAGAAGGGGACAGGTGGGAGCAGCATTTGGGATTTTACAGGGGCTGTTCCGGGATTTTTGGGGGTCTGGGTGTCTCAGCCCCCCCCAGCCCCGCCTGGCACCGCTATCCCGGAGCTGGGGAAGGTTCTGGAGGGGGGGACAGGGACAAGGCCGGGGGCTCCGCCCGTGTTTGCGTCCCTGGCGCCCCGACAGGGATGAGGTAGCGCTTTCCGGGAATTGAGGCCCGGCCCATGGAAATGCAGCCGGGACAGGAAACCCGGGATGAGGACGGAGAGCCGGGGCTGGAAGCGAGGCCGGAGCCCAGCCCGGACTCACAGCCGGTGTCCCCCAGCAATGTCCCCCAGCAGGACAGCGGGGTGGCACCGTGTCCCCGAGCTGGGGACAGGACGCGGACAGCCCCTCCCCTCCTGCCCGGCGCTCCCGGTTTGCTCCTTCCCAAACTTTTTATGGATAAACTGGGCCTTCCCGAGCCGGGACCTGCAGCGGGTCTTCATCATCATCACCATCATCATCCCCACCATCGCCTCCCTCCCGGCTGTCCGCACGGAGCTGGCGGATCGGGACGGATCCTGGCACACCGAGGGACGTTGTCCCCAGCACACCGAGGTGACCCCGCGGGGAGGGGGTGCAGCCCCCCGCCCCCCTCCTCTCCCGGAGCTCCGGGAGCAGGGCTGGATCCCACCCGGCCTGGGAAGGGCTGGATCGCTTCCTTCCCCCCGCCCCGCCAAGGGCAGCGCGCCCGCGGGGACGCGGTGCCACCCCAATTCCCACATTCCCGGCGGCCATCCCATAAAAGCTTCCATTCCCAAATTCCCTGCCTCTATCCCATAAAAGCTTCCATTCCCAAATTCCCTGCCTCTATCCCATAAAAGCCGGCATTCCCACATTCCCAGCATCTATCCCATAAAAGCTTCCATTCCCCCATTCCCAGCGTCTATCCCATAAAAGCTGTCATTCCCAAATTCCCAGCATCTATCCATAAAAGCTGTCATTCCCACATTCCCAGCATCTATCCCATAAAAGCTTCCATTCCCCCATTCCCAGCATCTATCCCATAAAAGCTGCCATTCCCAAATTCCCAGTATCTATCCATAAAAGCTGTCATTCCCACATTCCCAGCATCTATCCATAAAAGCTGTCATTCCCAAATTCCCAGCATCTATCCCATAAAACCTGCCATTCCCAAATTCCCGGCCCCTATCCCATCCAAAACTTGCCATTCCCGAATTCCTGGCCTCTATCCCATAAAAGCTGGCATTCCCATATTCCCGGCTGCCTCTATCCCATAAAATCTGCCATTCCCACATTCCCGGGGCCCCTCCGGGGTCCCCCTGACGGGGATTTGGGGGATTTTGGGGTTGGAAAACCCCGAGAGGTCCCCGGAAAGCCCCGAGCTCGGGATGGGGGGGCACCCAAGGGCACCGAGGGCGGGCCTCAGTTTCCCCTTGGCATTTGTGAGCTCTTGCACACCCGCACAGACTCACGGTGTTCTTGCACACCCTCAGGGACTCGCAGTGTTCTTGCACACCCGCACAGACTCACGGTGTTCTTGCACACCCACAGGGACTCGCAGTGTTCTTACACACCCGCACAGACTCACGGTGTTCTTGCACACCCACACGGACTCACGGTGTTCTTACACACCCACAGGGACTCACGGTGTTCTTGCACACCCACACAAACTCACAGTGTTCTTGCACACCCACACAAACTCACAGTGTTCTTGCACACGCACAGGGACAGAGCGTTTGCACTCCCATGTGTGCACACACGTGTGCCACACCCCTGTGCACACACCCCATTCACACACCCCATTCACACACACCCCATTCACACACCCCATGTATACACACCCCATTCACACACCCCATTCACACACCCCATTTACACACCCCATTCACACACCCCATTCACACAGACATCCCATGTGCCCATACCCCATTTACACACCCCATTCACACACACACCCATTCACACACATGCACAAACACACACTCACACACCCCATGTGCACACACCCCATTCACACACCCCATGCAAACACACACACGTACACACTCCATGTACACACACCCCCATTTACACACCCCATGTGTACACACCCCATGTGCACACACACCCCATTTACACACCCCATGTGCACACACACCACCATTTACACACCCATTCACACACCCCATGTGCACACCCCATGTGTACACACACACCCATTCACACACCCCATTTACACACCCCATGTGCACACACACCCCCATTTACACACCCCATGTACACAACCCCCATTCACACACTCCATGTACACACACACCCCTTTACACACACCCATTCACACACGTGCAAACACCAATTCACACATGTGCACACACACCCTATTCGCACACCCCATGTACACGCACACACACACACACTTGCACACTCGCGTGCTCCCACACCTCCACCCTTCCCCTCATGGTTCCCTTCGTGTCCCCTCCCCAGGTGCCTCGGCTTTGGTGTACCCCTGTCTCCGTGTCCCCTCCCCAGGTGCCACTGCCCTGGTGTCCCCCTGTCCCCGTGTCCCCTCCCCAGGTGCCCTGGCTTTGGTATCCCCCAGCCCCCTGTCCCCGTGTCCCTCCCCGGCTGCCACTGCCCTCGTGTCCCCCCTGTCCCCGTGTCCCCTCCCCGGGTGCCCCTGGCCGTTCCCTAGTGTCCCCCTGTCCCCGTGTCCCCTCCCCGGGTGCCCCTGGCCGTGTCCTGGTGTCCCCCAGCCCCCCCTGAGGAAGAGGAGGGTGAGGAGGAGGCAGCTGCAAACCATTACCGAGAGGAGGGGGCTGCTCCGGGGGCTGCTCCGGGGGTCCCGCCCGCCTCCCCCGGCTCCAGAGGCTCTTCCCAGCCCCGGGTCAGCCGGAGTTCTCCGGGAAAGGAAAACAAACCGTGAGGGGCACGGAACGGGGGGGGCCTGCAGCAGCGCCGCCTCTGTGGGGTCCCCAAAGGGGGGGCTGGGGTCCCCAAAGGGGGGGCTGGGGTCCCCAGGGCCCCCTCCCCGTGCCCAGCTGTGCCCAGATGTGCCCCGGCGTCCCCCTCTCCGCTGTGACAGTCGCCACCCCGCTGGGGTGGGGACCGCACCCGCGCCCCTCTCCCTTCCACCAGGAGCCGGGATTTGGGAACGAAGGAGCCAGGCCAGCTTGGAGTGGGGGGCTGCAGCCTGGGAATGATTTTTCCACAGGGATCTTTGTCTCCTCTTGTGAGGGGTTAAATCCAGAAATCCCTGTCCTGGAGTTGAGGGAGGGAGAAGTGACTCCCACCCTGTGTGGGATCCGTTCCCATTGGGATTCCAATGGGAATTGCCACCCCCACGGCAGCGTTCCCATTTCCCACATATCCCGCTCCCCAGTATCCCCAGCATTCC